CTATGTGCAGCCACTGGTAAAGTTATTTGACGGCACAGGGTGAGTTATCATCAGTATGCCAATGATACCCAGCTTTATATCTCCACCCTAGGCCAAATAAGTAATGCTGTGGAGGTCCTGTCTCAGTGCCTGGAGGTGGTGAGGGTTTGGATGGGGAACAGGTTTCAGCTCAACCCAAACAAGACCGAGTGGCTTTAGACGTTGGGTCCTCCTAGTTCTTGGGACTTTCCATCTTGTTCTGGATGGGAATGCACTACCCCAAACAAAACCTGTGTGAAATCTGGGGGTCCTTGTGGACTCACAGCTCCTGCTTGAAGAATAGGTGTCAGCCATGGCCAGGAAGGCTCTTGTACAACTACTTTGTGCCCATTCCTGGACTGACAGGCCCTGCTCACAGTCATTCACACTTTAGTCACCTCTCATATGGATTACTGCAATGCATTCTACATGGGACTATCCTTGAAGAGTATTCAGAAACTTCAATTGGTTGAAAATGTGGCCATGTGGACAGTTGTGTGTGCTCCTCGATCTGCACATATTACACCTCTGCTCCACAAGCTGCATTGGCTGCCAGTTTGCTTCTGGATTCAAATTCAAGTTGCCAGCAACTTTTAAGAACAGTTTGTTTGCTTTGTGAATAAAAAAGCAGTTATTGATATGGCACCAAAGAAATTATAAATGAAAATGAATAGAAACTATGGTACATAACCCTATATTTTTATATATGAATAATTTACATCTCCTTGTTTTTCCAGTTGGAGTACTGGAGGTTTCCAGAGGAAAGAAAAACAAAAATTAGATTTTGTTTTGCTGGAAGAGAGGATGCAATTAAGCAACTAATCTTACTTTACCCATTGATTTTTGGGATATTCAGTTAAGAAAAGTGTTACAGAGTATACAGACACACACTTACTACATAAGATTGCCAAAATACTTTCAGTTACACAATATCCTTCTCCGTCCCTAGTTTCATATATGTCTAGATTTAGGGAAACATCTCAACTCTTTCCAGAAAAAAAATATGAATTGGGTAGAAAACTGTGGCAAGTTCTCACAATAATTATCATACTTTCTCATATATAAGTTATCTTACTTATATATAACTTTATCAGATACTACATTTTAAAATCATAAGTAATATTCTCCCAAAAGTTGAAAGCAGCTCTTTAAAATAAAACAAAAATATGAATACTATCACATTTAGAATTCAAAAATATTGTACCAAAGTAAATTTGCAAAAATATTACATTTGTATTGATTTCATAGAAAATTATCCATCCTCTTTAGTATTACAGTTAAAATAATATCTCAACACTTCTTTCTGCAACACATTTTCCACCACTATGGACAATACATTTTTCAATCCAAAGATTCAGCAAAGCTTATATTGTGTTTAGCCTACTTGGGTCCATGAATTCTCTGTTACAAAAAAGTATAAGTTATGTCATTGGAATCACAAGCTGAAATAGAGACTAGGGAGCAAGAAAAAGTCACAGCCATCATTTACAAAGAAAAAAGTCTCAAATGTGAATGTCATCCCAAGTAAAAAATAAAAAAGCACAGAACCTCTTCCTACCCTTAATCATACATTTTAAACATTTTTAAGGGTTTTAGGAAGCTTCCATCATCTAGTGTTTCTGGAATATAGCAATCAAGCACATGCTAAACTGTGCCAGGCAGCTGCCAATTTTGTTCCACCATAATTCAGCATGTGACTGACTGATACATGTATCTCCATCAAATAAAAAAATGACTTGTGTAGAAAAAAATTGGAAGAAAATGACAACTTGAGATGAATGCAGACAGCACCTTTTATAGAACTAAATTATAGAATAACCCAGTGTTTTTCCTTTTCTTTCTTCAGAGAAACCTAGAATCAGGAATATAATTATAACTACAACACAGGCTAAGAATTTCATCTAATATGCTCTGAGTAATCTTGAACTATGGGTTCAGAAGCCTTTCGATGCCAAAGATATTCCTCCTTTGGCTCTGGACAGGATTATGCTTCCTCATGCAGAAGTGGTTTATAACTTGGGGATCCTCTTGGTCTCACAGGACCAACTTGAAGAGCAGGTGGCAGTTGTGGCTTGGAAAACCTTTGTATATCTTCATCCTGTGCTCCAGTTAGCCTTTCCTGTTTTGGGAGGTCTGTCTATAGCCACACATGCATTAATCAGCTCTCACTTGGACTACTGCAATGCAGTCTACATGGGACTGCCCTTGAAAGACCACCCAGAAGCTTTAACTGGTCTAAAATGCAGTGGCTCCTCAAGTGATAGGAACTTCTATATCATCTTCAGGGAACAGGAGCCTTCTCAGCTACTTTCTTCCTTCTTTGGAACAGTGTTCTTCTTGATATCAGCTTTGTTCCCATTCTAAGCCAAAATATGAGTTGCTCACTTTTGATTAGTGTGTTCTGTGAGCTCAGCCAGTCTTGTATGCAAGCCATGGCTATAGATTAGCATTACATATGATTCCATATTTAATTTATTTAAACTTAATTAAAGAAGTCATGGTTAGCACTACAATTGAATCCAGTCCCTTATTTATCTCTATTGAAAAAAAAGCAAGTTTCTAAATCAACAGGACTGAGTTATTTAATCTGACAAAGACATTTCTTATTACGAAGAACTTCAAACAACATTCTTAGACAGTAAAATCAGGGGAAACAATCTGTTATAGTACAGAATGCAAGAATAAATTTAAATTCACTGAAATAAAATTTAATAGATGGTAAAATATATTTATGATTTTTGTGAAATGGATAAAAACTATTTGTTCAAATTAGGACTCTGTATACACAAATAGCTATCAGTCTGACCAGTATCACACTCATGATCTGCAGGTGGCCTGTTCATCATTATCTTGACCTTTAATAACATATTATTAACATCAAACTAGTGCAAAAACAGTTCAAATTATTAAACAGAGATTAAATACTCAAATTATTTTGGAAAAAAACAGAACTAGTGTTTAGAAAACAATAATAAAACATATACAAAACACAGATTTAACTGAGCTAACAGAGACCTCTAGTGGTGTGAACATAATTATACTGTTTCTAATTTTAGAAAAAGAATACTCTAACAAGTAGTATGCAAATTAATTGATACTTATAAGGCTTGCTTTTACTTTTTTCTAAAAAATTAATAGGATTAACATCTGACGTTTACTAGCCTGTGTCCTTAATCATTTGCATTATACAAGCTGTAAATATATTTTATTTAATTCTTCTAATATGAGCTGCATATAAATGAAGTTGTAAAATAGTAACTTGTCTTCCCAAGACACAATCAGTATTAACATTTTTTTTCTCTTTTGGAAAATGCTGTTTGCTATTGGCACTTGCTATTTTGGATACTGGCACTGTTTACTCCTGTCAGAAGTTCAGAAAACAGTTATTTGATGTAATATAATACCTGCACTGAATGACAGTATTTTCATGACAAAAGATGCAAACAATTCAAAACCAAATTCTGGGCTATAGTTACCAAGGTGTTTGTACCTGTATACAGGGAGAAATAAGGTGGGGGGGGAGGCAGGGGGAAATACTGAATATCATCCATGGGAAAAGTGTCATATACATTGTGATTAAATGGTACTAAAATAAATAAAGGGTTCACTGGACATTTTCTCACAAGGAAGGCAAGTCAAGAGAAATTAGAAAGGTATGGGACAGGGAAGTGACAGATGAGAAGGTAAGAAGAGAGAAAAGAAAGAAAAAGGGGACAATTAGTATAGAAGAAAAAAAGAAAATTAATGCCTTTGTGGGGGGAAAAAGCTATCATTCTTCAAATAAACAGAGTTCTCTACCTCTAAACAGAAACAACTTATACCCTATATTATTTGTTTATATAATGTGGTTGTTAAATAAAGTTTTGACTGCTTTTAAAAAATTGGTCCTGAGTAAATGAGAGAAGAATATAGTATCTTTCCCCACATGTAAGGTAACACAGGAAGAACCAGGAAGAAAGAAGCAGTGTAAGAATTCTTTTTAGAGTGGTGATAGTAAGATTTTAAACTATATTACATTTAAAATAAATTTAGGAAAATTATGCCACTTCTCATCAAACCAATCAGTTTCACTACATATATAAAAGAAATATTTTGTCTTTCTTTAATATTCAGTTCTGAAATCACTTAAAGCAGTATGACAAATCTAGAGACTAGATCTTATATTCTTGCTTTGTTTTAGGATACATATCCGACGCAGAAAATTGCGACATGATTTATTTCATAAAGCCGTGATTTGTTGAATAAGCAAAAGTAGCCTGGTTCACACCTCATGCTAAAGTATGAACCACAGTTACCAATCACTGTGGCTGGGTTTCATACAACATGCTAAGTAAACATCAAGCAAATCCCATTATGGCTTAGTGTCAGCCCTTCAAGTTAGGCAAAGACAAGAAACAGGCACAGCATGCTTTTATTGCAGGTACAGTAACAGAATCTTGGAAGTTTCTCTCACCTCCATCTTATACCAAACAAAATTAAGGCAAGGGTTGTTTTGAGTTCCTTTGTCACACTTCTCAGGGCTGAATTATCTTTTCCAAAACTCTCTTCTTAACAGTTCATTCCTTACTTCCCCATTCCCAAGGCCAGGTCTACATTCTTTCACTCTTAGGGCTGAAATAAATCCAAGATCCCATGGATAACTGCTCAGCAGGCCAGAAACAGCATTTGCAACTCTTGAGTTGGGGGGAATTATCAGGCTCAAAATCCCTCTTCAAAGCTCACATTTTATATTTCATCTCGGACAGAGAAATCCAAGATATCAGTTCAATGCTGTCCCAGTAGTTTTTGACATTTTTTTTTTTATATTTACCTAAGCATTGCTTTTCTTGGACCATAGTTTTCCTTATATAAACAGCAGAAATTTGTTCAACATATTTACTTTGTATCAGCGTTATATTATATATTATACATTATTACTGTATAATAATCAGATCATTATAAATGAGTACGATTTAATGGACAAACATCATATGCACACTTACTTTGCACACAGTCTCCACATCCCAAGGCAAAATCGTCTTCAAATCAATTATTTCACAGGACACTCCTAGTTTTTCTTGTGCCATAACTGCTACCTCTTTTATAACATGAACCTAAATATTGGGAGAAAACATGCAAAAGTGTATTGAAAGTAAAGAATACACTTTTGACTACTGAAAAACATGGCAGTCACTCTGACCCCTAAAGTTTGCTTTTGTAGGAAGAAACTGTTTTATGGTATTATGATTTTATACAGTTGTAAAATGTCAAGAGTTTATGAAGTTTGCAATATAAAATACTATCAAAAAATAATACCACTTGACAGTACAACTGCATGTGAATATTCCACAACATATTTGGAATCAGCTCTGAATTGAAATTTCTCTAGGATTCCATTTTCTAATGGTTAAACTGTCACTTCCAATCCAGACAAACTCTTATTCTACAGTATGCAGTCCTGCTATGTTCCTTGGAAGAACCTTAAGAATCTCACATCACCTTCATTCAGCATAGAAACACAATCTGCATTCCCCTCCCCTCCCTTCAATAGTATATCTAAAGTTCTATTGGGGCGGGAGTATATAACCTTCCTTATTTCACTTCTTCCATGTTCTACAATAGAAAACGCCTTACTGAGGAACATTCTGGTTTGGCCCAACATTGTTAATAAAAGCACCAAGCACTTGCCATGGCCAATTATTTGTTGCGAGCTACATTTTATGCAGACTTGCTGAGGGTGATGTGCTTCCACAAGATTTTATTAGCTGTTGCATAGTTTATTCTTCTGATCAATATTATTTTAAAATATCTAATATTAATATTTTGATTATTATTACATACCTTAGAAATTATTGATTGAAATATCAATTATCCTGAATAAATAAACAGCAGATCAGCCACTTTTACATACTGAATATATTCAGATGTATTCACTGCAGTGGGAGAATCTATGCAATATATGGTACAACATACTTATTTTAATGCTACATGGCTAAGACATATTTAGAGTCCCAATGCAGTTTTAAAAAAATAGAAGCAAATTGGTGCTGTATGTATGGATGCCTGAACAGAGGCATAGCACCGCTGTTGCTAAAAATTCAATATACAACAATATGTATGTTTTAGTTGTTATTACTGAAAGTTAGCAGCTAAACTGGATGAGACTGAATTGAAATTTAATTCTACTGTACTCTTAATAAACTTTAAATCTCACGAATTTCAACAAGATGTAAGTATCACTAACATTGTGGTTCTAATCCTACCTATTTGAGTCTTATTTAATTTCCATCATTTCTGGTGGAAGAATATTCTAGAATATTTACACCCACCCATAGTGAAAGACCGAATGAAACATAAATATCTGTTGAAGTGATTGCTTCAGATATCAACACTATCCAGATGAATACACCAATAAAATGATAATGGTAAAGTGTGATATCCTAGGAAGCATTGGGTTTTTTTTCTCAAATTCTCACAAATCTTACTCACCTGAGTACCCCAAGCCACCAAAGTTACATCACTTCCATCCTGAAGCACTTCTGCTTGAGACAAAGGAATGCAGTAAGGATCCACAGGGACTTGTTCCACTGAATAAATGGAAAGCAAGTAAGTTTACAATTTGAGTATCTGGAAGAGGGATGGGGAACTACAACTTCTAGCAGCCCCAATCAACATGGCCAAAGCTGAAGGATGCTGGCAAAACCTGAAGGACAGCATGTTCCCCATCCCTGCTGTAAACTTAAATCCCTATGTCTAAACTTAGAGCCATAGCTATAATAGAACTTACAAGAAAGTTCAGCTCTGAAGAATGAGAAATCCAGTGGCAAAGTATCAAGATAAAAGTTAATTCACTTGTGTCATCATGTAATTTATTAATTATCAGTTCAAGCTATGACTAGGGTACAGGGAATAAAAATAAATCCCAGGAACATAATTCTTTAGGTATTACCCTGGAAAGAATCTGACAACTCGTTGAGCCTTGTTCTAGCAGAACAGCATAAGGATTTACTGAAAAACTTAATCACAGTTAAATACTTAGATGAAAACCAAGTTTGTGGGAAAAAAGAAGCAGCAGCTAAAACTCACTACCAATTTAGCAGGCAGATAAGTCCCCGTATAAATCAAAAAGTCTGTTTGTGTTCACAGTTGTTCAGATACATTGCAGTAAAAACCAAACAAAATTAAATTCAGAGATAATCCAACAAGATCCTATTTTCACAAGGACAATTGGCCATCTTCATGACAATGTCTCAACCTGACTGACAAGGCATCACAGTAACAAGAAATTATACATATGCATGTTAATCACTAATATATCAATTTATGAATAGAATGTACAGACTTAACAGCAGTGGCAGAAAGCCAGCAATGATGGTGGAGCTATCCAATGTAGTGCCCCATTTATGATCATTTGTCTGAACATTTATATGCATGCAAAAGACAGATGCCATAGTTCAGAAAGACACAGCATCCACTAACTTCCCCCTTCAGAAAGCCAACTGCCTCCAACTGATACTTTTTAGAACACAGTGCTTTAATAAATGCACTAGCTTATTTGCTGGTTTTGCCATTAAAGCTGTCAATTGAACCATTTGCTTCCCCTCCTCCCAACCCCAATCTCACAGAAGAGGTATCCCTCCAACCAGTTGTTTCTTCAGGCTCAGCTGCCAAACATTCTCTATCAAATCATTTTTATTGCAGTCTCCTAATCTTTGGATGTGTCTTTCAAGGATGCAAGGTTTGGAACAAATTTTCACTGAACTGCCATGCTCTACTTACTATTCAGTAACCAAAACAAGTTTGGCTTAGGGTGAAAGTATAAAAACATTCTAGTTTCCACTCTTCAAAAATCCAGGAAATGGAAAATAAGATCAAGATCTTATATTTTACCTACCACAGATTACAAAGATTGTGTTTATTCTTGTATGTCATACTGAGTTTACAAGTTAAAGCCCTTGTACTCATAATCTGCATACTTCTTTCGCGTCAATCTCAGGCTCAGGAGGGACACATCCAGTCAAACCTTCAAGAGGTGCAGTTTCCCAAATCCCTTGATAGAAATGCCCTGATGAGACCATGCCTGTTGCACAAGAGTGGGCACTCCCACAGATTTCCATTCCCTACACTTGTACAATGCATCCACAATGCATCCACAATCATTTCCTACCTGAATTATACTGAATTCATACAGTATAAGGTCAGCGTGAAGTATATTGACATATGTCACATTATTCTAACAGTTCTGCTACCACAGTAATTCTGCAGGCAGAGGCCACACATTCCTATGTTCTAAGCATTAAGGATGTAATTGTCACTCAGTCTCTTGACATAGTAAAGCTATAGGAGGCAGTCTAATAATCTCTGGGAAAAAAACTTATTCATCTATAGAAGAAAATGTCCTGATAAAAAAAATTAAATTGCCAATATGTTATAAAAAGCAATCACTACAAGATTCTAGTTTCTTACAATAAAA